TGCAATGCCAAATGTAGTTGCCTAAGGCAGAAAGCTGGTCCTAGGGCCACTGAAGGCACCCCTGCCTTTCAGAGCCTGGCACACTGCAGGCATTCCATAAATACTTGATGGGCGAGTGAGTCAAGTCACTTACGAGGAATGTCTCTGGGCAGGTTACTTCACCTCCTCGGGTCTCACATCCTTCCCCAAATTTCATGGTTGCTAGGCAGCTACAAGCTGTCCAAAACAGAGTGAGAATGCCTGGGGTGAGAAGTTCCAGAATTAGGTAATTGGAAGCAGGAAAGGTGAACTCCCCATTAGGCCCAAGGGAAGCAAGGCTAATGGGCTCCTGGAGAAGCATCCCCCAGTGGATATCCAGTCATAGATTCTTCCCTCGATCTGCTCACACACAGGGAAGGCTGCCTGTGCTCAGATCCTCTCCCTGACCACTCTCTTTAATGGCTTGAATGAGTGATGGAGGAAAATGGGGTGGAGTAAAAGGACTGAACTATCAGATCCCAGGTAATTGAAAAACAACCACCTGTGTTAGTTCTCAGGTTGTTTCAATGAACAGTTGCTAATATTTTGAATGTGGCTCGTCCCTCCAAAACTCATGTTGGGATTTGACTCCTACTGAAGAGAGGGGAGCAATTGACAATAGCGTTTGGGAGAGGGGCCTTGGGAGGTGATTGGAGTTAGAAAAGGTCATCATGGTGGATCCCCCATATTGAGTACTGGTGGCTTTATAAGAGGGAGACCCCAGTCAGAATGGCTATTACAGAAAGCACAACAAAACAAAAATGTGCTTATGAGGATTGGGGTGAGAGAAGGGACCCTTTATATACTGTTGGTGGAAATGTAAATTAGCACAGCCATTATGGAAAATAGTATGAAGATTCCTCAAAAAATTAAAAACAGAATTACTATATGATCTAGTTATCCCATTCCTGTGCATTTATCTGAAGGAATCAAAGGCAGCATACAATATGGAGATAGCTGCACACCCATGTTTATTACTGTACTGTTTACGTTAGCTAAGTTATGGAATCGACCTAGGATCCCATCAAAGGATGAACAGATAAAGAAAACATGGAAACACAATGGAGTATTATTTGGCCATAAAGAAGACAGAAATAATGTCATTTGCAAGAAAATAGATGGCATTGGAGATAACCGCTAAGTGAAATAAGCCAGACACAGAAAGACAAGTATCACATACTTTCTCTCATATGTGGAAACTTAAAAAAAATGACATGAAAACTGAAGAGGGACTTTCAGTGAAGGAGAAGGGGATCTGGAGGAGGGGAGAAAGAAGCGAGGAGAGTAGAGAGGAGGTACATGATCAAAGCATGATATATACAAGGATGGAATGTCACAGTGAAACCCATAAATTTGTACAATTAATGTGTATTAATAATTATAATTAAAAAGGAGAGACAAGACAGACAGACAGACACACACTTCTGTGGTCATGTGATGCCCTGTACTGCTTTGAGACCTGTCAAGAAGATGGCCATCACCGCGTGTGGCCCCGTAATGGGGTCATTAAGAACTGTGAGCCCAAATAAACCTCTTTTCTTTAAAACTTACCCAGTCGGTGGTATTGTGTTATTAGCAACAGAAAAAGAATTAAGACAACCATTACTGAGCCTCTGCTCTGAATCTGCACTGGGATTCAGAGATCAATGAGATGTCCCTGCCTTCAAGGGTCTGGTGGGGGAAGGAGAAAGGGAAAGGGGTGACTAGTGTATTTACGTTCATTCACTCATTCGTTGGTTTATTATTCATGCGTCTGTATTTGGACAGCCAATGTGAACAGAGTGTGGGGTATCCATATTCTGGATCTTAAGTCCTAGCTAGCATGCAACACTTAGAAGACTTAAATATTTTAAGCAAGCTGAACCAAGGAAAACTGGTTTTTTGAAATTTTACAAGTTTCTTATTTTCCCCGAAGCCATCCCTAGTCATCAAGACTTGGAAATTGTCAGAAATCTGGAGGCCATGAAGGTAGTGGCTGGAGATTTGGAGTCAAATTTAGACACTGGCTGAGTAATTCTGCAAGGGTATTTCATGTTTCTGAGTCTTAGTTTCCTTTGTGAAAATAAATGAGGAGAAAGAAGGTTGCATAGGTGGGTTGGCGGATGGGTTTTAAAACCAGACATTGTATTGGGAAAGCCACTTCTCTTCCTCTGAGCTCTGCCCAGCTCTCTGTGCACAGCTCTCAAAAAACAGTCCAGATGGACTTCCTGGGTTTTATGCACATGTTTCACTTTTTTAGTTGGACATCCAGGCAGGGACTGGGTCTTGGCCCTTTGGGCAAATCTATTGCAGACTAGCACAGTACCTGGCACAAAGAGGGCACTCTGAGGTTCTTGCTGAATGAATACATTATGGTAATTTCCATCCCCAAGTTTATTAAGAAGTGACCACATCCTAGTTGTTGGGTCTGGGCCATGGTGGTGGTGCCACCAATGGAGACGCTATGGGCCTTGGTGGGTGGGGTCAAGTACTAAGTAGCCTGACAGATGAGAGGTGGCCTCCTGGCTCTACCAGCTTTTGTCCTCTATAAAAAGGGGAAAAAAACTGCACCTACTTCACAGGGTGGTTGTGAAGTTTACAGGACTTAATAGACATGCTTTGAAGAGTGCTCTACACAGCATACAGCAATAAATGGAAACTCCTATAGTAGCTTTGGGATTCTCCAAATGACCTAACATCAAGGCATATGTCCAACAATGTCTTGCTCAGTAGACTCATTTTTAGGAAATAAAATGTACTTTTTAGCCTCTTACTAGGACGAGAATTCAGGCAGACAACGACAACAACCATTTCTCCTTCATTTCAACAGTGCAGATATGGGCTAGACTGGTAGTACTTTTTTAAGAAGGCAGGAAATTGGTCAGAGAAAGGAGGCCAAGGCAGCCAGATGGAAGTGGGTGATGGTGTTGCTGGTGATCTTGGTACACTTCTAGTCCCTCCCATCCCCAGTCCTTCCTTCTGGGCTTTGTCCTCACTCAGATCCACATGCAATTCCTCTAGAAGACAGGACAGCATTTGGGGTTGGCGATCACTAAACTGGTCTTTTCATAACTGGTGGAACAAGGCTTCTAGAGGAGTTCTTGCTAGGTGCTTCATTTTATCACTGAATAAATGAATTAATGAGTGACATGGCCAGTGGCATTATTGAGCTCATTAACACAAAGGTGTGGCAACTTCCAGAGCTCCCTTTAGGAAGTTATAAATCATCTTGGAGGTTCTCACCGCTATTTCATTATTTTAAGGATAACTCTGGAGGTCCCTTTGCAGGCCTTTTAAATGATCTCTGGACAAGGCCACCTGGGCTATGGTGCTTCCTCTGTCACCCCTTGTTCCAGGCTGCCCTTGTGATCTATCAACAAAGACACCCTGCTCCCTCCCTCCCCCCACTTTCTCCACTCACCCCCAACCAGCTGCTGCACTGGAGCCCTGACTGGCTCTGACCCAGTGGGAGGTATGCACTCAAGGGCCTCAAAGGCCTGCTCCATTATGTAGATGACATGGCCATTAGTAACCATGGTAACTTCCCTTCCCTGGCTTTCATGGCTCCACAGGTCTAAATTTACACAGGTGTCTTCAGACTTGAGAGGGTTTGGGGAACCCCAGCAGAGAGGTGCCTTCCTGGAGCCATAGCAAGGCAAATGGAAGCACTTTCAGAGTCTTTCAGGTGAAAAGAAACAACCTCAAATCTCCGATTCAGTAAACTTGAACACTTATGCTTAGTCAAATATGAAACGAGAAGAGGAAAAGAAATAGCATCCTTTTCCTGCTTTTTTTTTTTTTTTCTTTACAGCAGAGAACACAACACTCCTAACAGTTTTGACAAGACTAGTATGGACAGGCCCAAAGGCTGGTGTCCGTACAGGCTCAGGTAGCAGGGCATGGGACTACCAATTCCTGTTTTTCTCCCTTTTGCAAAGAACCTTGAAACCAGGACTCATCTGATGTGTATGAGTTAGCATGTGTATGAGTGAGTTAGCGCAACTGAGCTGTATCACTCTGCATATTTCAAAACCTTGTGCTGTCCATGATAAATACACATGATAAACACAGGTTGAGTCATCCCTAATCCAAAATTCCAACATCCAAAATTTGAGACATTTGATGCTACAACATGAAACTTTGTTTCATGTACAAAATTGCTGAAAATACTGCACACGTTATCTTTGAGATGTGTGTAAAGTGCATACGAAAGAAATGAATTTCCTGTTTAGACTTGGGTCCTGGCCCCAAGATACCTCATTATATGTATGCAAATATAAAAAAATCTGATATGTTTGTGGCCCTAAGTGTTTCAAATAAAGGATACTCAATTTGTATGTCATGTCCATGTTATATTTGATATATAGAGGATCCATGTCATATATAGATAATTTTAATTTGTTGATTAAAAATATTAGTTTGAAAAAAAGAACACATCAGTTGAGTCAACATCTCTGTACCCACTGGAAGGCCCCAACTCAAGTTAGCCTAACCTACTCCATTGTGTAAAGAACTCTATCTTGTCTGGCAGGAAGGTTGTTTTACTTTGTTTTTCAGAAACTTTTTATGAATTCAAGCAGAACCCCACTTGCAGCTCATTGACGACATATCTGACCTCATGATGTCACTGAAAGGATCAAGCTAATAGCCACCGACCTTGGCAAAACACTGAGAAAATGACCACCTCAGCCACTTCCTGGAATAGCTAGCTGGACCAAAAAACAAGACGTCAGAAGCATATTCCTTCAACAACTTAAATGCTTATAAACCCCAACCCTAATGTTATTCTGGGCTGATACCTCTTAGCAATCAGCCCCTTTCCTCCTTTGGAAAGGGAATAAAACTTTGCTTCTTCAAGTCTTGTTTTTCTGGGAAATCTTTCACACCCTGAGCACTGGCCTCATGGACTGGAACCTGACACCCACCATCTATATTCCCCACCTTGCCAATGAAAAGAAAGGAAACCAGCATTCTCCCATTTTCTGAAGTGAACAGGGTCTTACCTGACTAGGTCTGGCTAGCTTCCACAGTGACGCCTTCAGAGTCTGAGTCAGCCAGTTCTGCTGCCCTGTCACCTGCCGTCTGACTCCAGCTATCTGATCTATCTGAGGTGACATCCTCCTCTCCTACTGTCACCTCCACATAGTCCACCACGCCCGACTCCTCATTCTCATCGCTGCCCTGGCCATCCTGGCTGCTGCCCTCCGACCTGTCAGAGGCGGCCTCTGAAGGCTTGGCTGGTACACAGTCTTTTGCTTGCTCACTGCCTGCTTTTGTTTTGGGGACCGACTTCTCCAAGTCCTCATCACAGAGCGTTTTGGGGTCTTTGTGATATTGCTGAACCACCTCGCCCCCATTCTTTGGGCTCTCGACTGGTTTTGCTGCTTTCTTCGATATGGCCTCGTAGCCGTGATCATCCGAAATGTGTTGCAGCTGGTAGTGCTCCATCCACTTCAGGGTTCCAGTTTTTAGCAAGCATCTGTTCTCCTTGAACCAGCGCACGATCTCAGTTCGGACCAGGCCGGTCTTGGCTGCTAACTGGTCGTACTCCTGGGGAGTCGGCCATTGGGTTCTTGCAAACGTGCTCCTCAGGAGATGAACCTGTTCTTGACTTTGTGTAACTGCTGGTGAAGGGCTGGGCAGAGGACTGGGTAACTGGGTGCTGGAGAGTTGGCCAAGTCGAGACAGAGCACCATTGGGGGCTACTACATCAGAGCCCTTTTTGCCAGACCCCATGGAATCCAGGACGGCCTGCTCCATGCTATCCCGAAGCTTCCGCCTCTCTGAGAACCAGGAGTCGATCTCTCTCCTGCTCAGCTTGGTCTCCACCCTTAGTCGATCTAGTTCTGCCTGGGTAGGGAAAGAGCTTTTCAAAAAGCTGTCTTCCAGAATTTTAACCTGACCCTGTGTCTTCTCTTTGAACTTCTGAGGGGCAAAGTCTGGGTATGCATGATATGTACGACCATGTCGGGAGGCTGCAATGGCCATCTGGTCTTTGGCAAGGGATTCGCTGGTGATGTGGACGATGCCCCTTTGACACCGATATCTGTGGTCACTGAACCACTTCTTGATCTCACTCCTGGCAAGGCCGGTCACCTCGATGAGTCGGTAGACCTCAGCATCATCAGGGAACTGGCTCTGGAGAAAGCTTGCTTTGAGGTGTGCGATCTGCAACTTGGTCTTCTTTCGGTCACTGGCTGGGGTGAGTGGGGCACTGGCCACCTTGGGTGGAGGCTCTGGCACCTGGGCTATGTGTGGACGCTTGGGCTCGGGGGCAGCTTGGGGAGTCACCAAAGGTCTCTTTTGGCCATGGTTGGTCACTCCGGCCACGGCAAGTGTGATGGGGGAGCAAGAAACATTTGTTGAGCCACTTGTCACTTGAGTCAACACCAGGCTGGTCTGACCAAGGATCTGGCATGGCAGAGCTGTCTGAAGGATGGGCTGAGACATCTTTGTGGGGGCCAACTGGGCAGGAAGCACTGTGATTGTTGGGGGTACTGACTGGATGGTGCCATTAAACATCTTTTTCCGGGCCTCCTCTACTTCCTCCGGGGACCAGCTGATACCATGCTTTAAGCGCTGGGTGGCAAACCAGATTCTGATGTGCTCTTCGGGGTGTTTGGAGGCAGCCGTCAGCCAGGACAGCTCAGCCTGTGTCGGATAAGGGAACTTGTTGAAGGAGTTGATCATGGTGGCATTTGTGTCCAGGGCAGAGTTGTATTTGGTAGTATTCAGTGGGACAGGGACCTTGGGGACAAGGTTGATATTTGGTGGCAGCTGTACAGAAGGCATGACGTGTCCCAACGTGTCTTGGAGGAGCTCCACGCTTCCGAGTCTGGAGAGGATCTCCGCTGTGTCTGTCACCAGGCGGGCAGTCCCTTCCACATGGTTTTCGGGGGTGGCCTCTTCAGGCTTCCTGGGCACCTTCTTGGCATCTGCTTTCGGTTTTCCTGTCTTCATGATGGGAGTTTTACTCACTGGGATCCCAGGGTCATTGTCACTACTTCCGGGGCCACTGGTGGGGATGGACATGGCATGGTTGGTAGCTTCGATGGACTGCTCCAAGACAGTTTGATTATTGCGTTTGATTAACTTGAGCTTGAAGTTGGTCTCTCCAGGATGGAACTTGGAGTTGTGCTCAGACAAGGAGTCGTACTTTTTGGTTGTGAAGTTACATTCAGCACACACGTAGAGGGGGTTGAGAATCACGTTGGGATGCTGCATGTCCACGTGCTCTGTGAACTCGTTCAGGTTTTGTGTGGAGTAGGGGCAGTATTTGCACTCATAGCCACCCTGGAGTTTTTTGGATGGGTTTTCCCCTGTAGGCTTCACCTCTATCACTTCATTTTCTTTGGAAGAGTTTTCAGGTTCTGCTACCCAGCTGTCCTTGGCTACATCGGATGGTGGCACACCCATTCCTTTTTCTTTGGCCCTGTCTCCTTCCTCGGGCACGTCCTGCTCTACGACTTGCGATGTCCGAACCATGCATGGAGTTGTAGATTTTCGTTTGCTTGCCATGCTGTCTGTCTGTGCAATGGCTTATTTTTGGTAGGGGGTAGGAAGAGGGCAGTGGGATTCTTGGGACGAATAAGATAAAAGGCTTTTGGCTTTATTCTCCCTCAACTGGCTTGGGGTTCCTTTGAATGCTAAAGTCTGCCGTTTGAGTTTTCAGAATGATTTCAGCACAGAAAATCGAACCTGCACCAATCACTAAGCACACCAGGGAGCATCGCATCTGTGGGACAAGAACAAAGACGGAATCAGTCAGCGTCTCCCCACAATGCAAAAGAAACTAGCATTTGTTTTTGAGTTGTCCCTAGGCCCCACCCCAACAAGCACCCAAACAAAACACTCATGTAAGTACAGACAGTGTGAGTACTTATAAACATGAAAGGTCACAGTCTTCTCTTCCTTGTGTGGGCAGGAAGTGGAACCAGGTCCAAGCAAACAAGGTTTGGGTGTGGGGGGATCCACTTCATGTTTAGAGACAAAAAGATACAGAAAAGAAACACAGGTACTAAGATCATCGGATGTGGTGAGTGGGCTGGTGGAGGGAAAGCTGCAGGTGAACTACTGTGGCTGGCTTTACAAACTGCTTTTTATTTACAGCCCATGGAGGCAAGATGCTTAATGGGAGCCAGTAAGTGGGTTCCTAGGGGCATTAGAAGATGGATATGAGAGCCACATATGGTAGTACACACCTGTAATCCCAGCACTTGGGAGACTGAAGCAAGAGGATTGTGAGTTCAAGGCCAGCCTGGGCTATACAATGAGAACTTGTCTTAAAAAGAAAAGAAAAAACCCAAAATGGATATTAACATGTTGCTTCTTATCATAAATGTAAAATTAGTGTGGGAAATCCAGGGAATGCAGAAAAGTATAAAGAATATTGTAGTCTTCTCATTTCACTTGAACACTGCCCCATTTCCATAATATTGAGCAAAATGATAAGTAAAAATGGCTATACCACAGACATTCTTGCCTCCTTTTGTACATGCCTGACACTGACTCAGTTTCCCTTTTATCTACTATGGTATTTTCTGTGTGCCTTAAAGAAACCCCAACCATGAAAGAGAAATGACAAACCTTTGGAGTAAAGCATATAAGAGGGAAATGAAAGCCCATCTGGACAATGACAAAGAACCATGGTTGGCTGGCTGTGCAGGACTCACCCCTTTGCTACCTGGTGCTTCCCCATGGTGACCTCCTGGTGTGAGCGGATTCCACAGGACCCCCATCTACTGAATGTGCTTGTGGCCAGGACCTGTGGATGCTGGGGCACAAGGATGAAGAGACCTTGGTCCTGCACTCAGAGTCCACAGCTGACCACTAATTCTCCATGGCAGCCACACATAGCGCCACGGCCTGGAGACTTTAACTGCAGAAACTCATTCTCCCACAGCCCTGGCTCAGAGACAGTCCTCCTTTGTGTGTGTCTGTGTCCTGACCTAATCCACGTTGGATTAGGGCCACCCCGATGGCTTCACTTATCCTTGTCCCCTTGTTTGAGACCCCTTCCCCCAATGCTGTCACATTTGAGGCACAGACATAGGAATCATGGAGGACACAAGTCAGCCTACAACCGCCAGGCAGGGCACTGTAATTGAAAGTCTTTTGACTTCACAAGGACTGCAGGCACCTGTTAATGACAGGTGAGAATCTAGCGATGGACAGACAGACAGAAGTTGCTTCTCTCATGGAGTTAACCATGGAGAAAGGTCAAGCAGGGAAGAGGGGAGGTGGGTAGAGGGACAACTGTGACTTTAAGCAGGGCAGCTGGGGACTTCCTCTATGACAGGGGGATGGTGGAGCATTGGGATGTTGCAATGACAAGAAAGTGAAGGAGTTTTTGAGACATAAGGGAGTCTGAACTTAATTCTGTGAGGTGGGGTGGGAGAAGGGTAGAGAAAGACTGCACAGTGGATGAGGGAAGTTAGCCTTTTCCTTCTTAGAAATGAAATGAAATGTAATAACTCCTGGAAGTTTTCCATACTTCCTTGATGAGTCTTTACAACAATTCTACAAAGCAGTTGTGATCAGCCTCAATCTGTTGATAAAAGAACCAAGACCCGAGAGGTCTTTGCCTAAGGTTGCACAGTCACTTACTTCATGGCGGTGCCAGGATCTACACAAAGGATGTCCAGCTCTGGGCTCTTGACACAGCACCATGCAGCCTCAGTTGGTGAGCAGGGCTTCAAAGGTGGAGGGGACCTCCCAGATGGAGAAAAGGGAGAGCACCTCAGTCAGAGGCCTGGCATCTCCCCAGGCAGAAAGAATGGACAGCAAGAGCAAGTAAGAAAGTCTTTGTCACATGACAAGGATGCTGAAGAAGGCAGGTGAGGCGAGACGGCAGAGAATCCTAAATGCTGTGCTAAGGAGCTGGGGATTGATTCTGCAGTCAGTGGAGATCAGACCCTTTGAGACAGGGTTGTGGAGGCAGAGGGGTCTGAGGGACAAGTTTAGGGGGCAGGAATGCCAAGAAAAGAGATACATGAAAGTAAGAATCCTCAAACCCAGCAGATGGCCAGTCATCTTAACCAAGCCCAAACTAAATGGTCAGGATCCAGGTGGCTGCAAGATGCTCCTTTCCAGCCTTTCCAGCCTCCAAGTTTCTTCTTTAGATATTGAGATTGCTTCACTTGTGTGTGTGTGTGTGTGTGTTACTGGGGTTTGAACTCAGGAAGTTGTACTTGCTGAGCAGGTGCTCTACCACCTGAGCCATGCCCCCAGCCCTTTCTGCTTTAGTTATTTTTCAGGCAGGGCCTTGGACTTTTTTTGCCTGGGCTGGCCTGGATGGCGATCTCCCTACCTAACTAAGCCTCCTGAATAGCTGGAATAACTTTTGGTTTTCTTGTTTTTGGCCTGGGTTGGCCTTCAACTGAAATCTTTCCAATCTCCATGCAGGTGTAAGTCATTGTGCCTGGCACTCTTCACTTTTAATCTGGAACTCTCTCCCATTCAGCTTGGCCTTCCTTCCCACGAATGGCCAGAAAATTTGGGTTTAAATGTGGCAACACTGGCTCCCCAGTAAGGACAGTTGACATTCACCAGAGGCATAGTATATGTCAACTGCCAAGTTTCACTTTTCAGAAGCCTTATGTGCATACGGAGGCTCAGAGAGGTTAAGGAGCTTGGTCAAGGTCACACAGCCTGAAGCAGTAGGGCTGGGTCACAAAATTTACTTGCAGAACATATCGAGTCAAGAACAGAGCCTGCAAGCCTCTATTTCTGACTGGTTCCCAGATGAGGATGCTACCAAGGCTGCATGGCCTAAGTAACTTGGCTCTCTAAGGCTCCCAAGCAGCCACTCACCCACTGTCAACCCGTGTTCTTTCTCTTCCCCATGCTCAGGTCTGGAGTCAGGGTGGTGGCATTTCCTGACCTTTCCCTACAGGCTTCTTGTGGTCTCTGGGGGGTTGGGAAAATGGGTTAAACCAGCAGACTAGCCCCTGGGAACTTCTCCAGGTGGCTGACATGCAGTCCAGCTGTAAGCATGAGAAGCACGTCTGGTTCTTGATCTCCACAAGGACTCACTGGGGTAGGGGACAGTCCCACTCAGAGGCCTGGCACTGTGGGTCTCCAGGATGGGAAAGGGCAGAGGTCAGAGGGACCTGCAAAGCTCCTGGCCTGGGGTGTCAGTGCTTGAAGCCCAGAGAGCTCAGGTGCAGCTAGCTCTCAAGGCAGTCACACCTTGGGGCTTTGAGGGGACGAGAAGCCACCTTTCATTTCAGGGCTTTTCACGGGGGCTGTCAGAGGAAATAACAGGGCTGTCTAGAAGCTTTCAAAGGAAGCATCTTGTTGAGACATCAAAGCCAAAAAGGATGCATTTTTAGCCTGGCAGGTCTTCTGACAGAGCTGTTAACAGATTCTGTCTCAGTTCAAGGGCAGATCTTTTCTGGGGGAGGAGGGATTGTTTCTTTGTGTTTTGAAATCATAACATGACAACTCCCGCCTTGCTGAAGTATTCTAACTGGTAGGTATACTGGGGGCCTTGTGGGTGGCTGGAGCAGAGAGGGTCTCAATGCTGGGAAGCAGGGGTCCTGGGTTTTGCTCCGACTCCAGGTTCCCAGCTCTCTTCTCGCCTGTCTCTGTCTTTGCCTCCATTTTTCTCTTTTGCTTACCAGGAATTAGTTTTGAAAGGTCATTCATGACCCTGAGTTCATTTCTGAGTTTTCTGATTTCTCTCCACCCTACCTTAAATCTAAATTTGAAATTTGGGGATGGGCCTACAACATGGTTCCCAAACTATCACATGTCACCTAGTGTGCTTTGAAAAAACCCACCAGTTCCAGGGCCCCAGTCCAGGCTTGTCAAACCCAAACATCCAGGTGCAAGGACCAGGAACCTGTGTTTCTAAGCAGTGGCCACATGACTGTGCTGTGCAGCCAGCTCTGGTAGCCTTGGCAATCAGACATCAGTTGGCTTCTTCCAATTCAGAGCTGGTTGGGTGGGTGGAAGCCAACTCTGTCCTGTGAAGATGAAGAGGCGTTCCTAGTGGCATCCTTTGTGGGAGCTGAGATTCGAAGCAGCCCAAGCTCCCTGTGGTGTCACTAGAGTGGGACATTGTATTCCCAAAGGGAATGACAGGACAGTTCAGAAATGGGGGAAGAAGAATGGCATAAAAATAGTGATTTGGGGAAAGAATAGAACACAGAACCCTGGGTTGTCAATAACCCAGGCTAAAACATTTTTACTGCAGCAGAGCTGGTGATGTGGTATAGTAGGGCTTTAAGAAGCTAATTTCCTCAGCTGGTGAGGTAGAGCAGTTGGCTAGCCTGCCCGAGGCCCTGGGTTCAATCCCCAACGGTGTAAGAAACAACAACAAAAAAATCCTATTTCCTGTTACCTGTGTTTGGATTTAACGTCTTACATTGTTCAAATAACACATTTTTAAGAAGAAAAGATGGGGCTTGAGCAAGGCAGGGTAATAGCTGAGATGTTCTTCAAAGTCACAATATTTATTCTCACAGCACCAATTGATGGCTATGATCTTCATTTTATGGATAAGGAAACTGAGGCTCAGAGAGGTCCAGTGACGTGCAGAGAGACAGCCCAGATAATCTTGGCTCCACACCTACTGCCTGGCCCTTGTGACACACACCTGTCCTCACTTAACAATTCCATTTCTTGACACTGGTCTATAAATTAGATCTCTCAAATTTCGGTGGCCATTCCCCTCTGGGAGCCAAAAAGAAAAGATTTTAATTGAACTATGCATATGCATCTTTTTCAAGGTGCTGCTCTGAGATGCTCCCTTGCTGGGCAGAGGAAAGCTCCCAGGGACCCTCCCGGCTAGAAAAACTTCATGCATCCCAGCAGATGAAATGGTTTGTGGCTGTCTCATGCAACTCACCACATTAGCATTACTGTGGATTGGGGTGACACAGGCCCTGAGAGAGGTGGGGTGTCCTGTCACCAGTTGGGGTGGCAGCTTCAGATGAAGTAGTCAGTAGTCAGGGCAGAGAAAACCAGACCTGAGAAGGCAGAATCATTCAGGATGTGATTCCTGAGCCCAGAATGTCCCCAGTTACTCAGAAACAATGAATTCCAAGGCTCGGGCCCTTTCAGCCTTCAACAGGGAGGCCATGGCCCGCCAGGAGCCTTGCTCCCCTTCCGTGTTCCATTAGTGCCCACCTGGTTGGTGAAAGGAGGCATAGACTGGAGCCAGCACCCCTGTTTGGATCTGGGCTCTGTTACTAGCACAGGAGCCCACCTTTCTCTGCCATGTCCAGGATACATCTCTCTGTCCCCAAACCCACACACACCCTGGATACACCAAATGCAGCACCATGATTCACCATGGCCACCCTCAGTTCCTGCAGCTAGACAATGGGTGCATCTGACTGAGCGACGACCATCAGCTCTGACACCTTTTGGGACCCCTGGCAGGGTGGCTTGAACGAGTCAGCCAGCACTGGGGATGAGAATCTTGACAAATGGGTTTGGATGGAATGTTCTACCCTTTTCCTCCACAGCCCCCTCAGTTACCAACCCCACCGAAGGTGCTGAGCTCTCCTTCCCTCGTGCTGCTCCGAGCTCTTCTTCCTCATCTTTTGTTTCTGCCCATAGAACTTTCTATGGCAACTGTTCCAATATTTTTAATTCTCCCAAGTTGTTGCTGAGAAGAGGAAGGTCACCTTCTTCCCCTTCTCCACACATCTTTTCTTCCCGGCTGGGCAGGAGGAGGTGGCTGGTCGCAGTGCAAGGCTAACGCCCCCATCTGGCTTCCAGCCCAGCACTCACAGCTCTCTCTGTTCCCATTTCTCTTTACCTGGTCCCCTTCTCTGTGAGTTACAAGGACCTCAGGTGGCTACTTCCATACAAAAGTAAACAAAGCAAAGCAAGACAGAATTTCCCACAGCTGCACGAATCCGTCATTGTCTACACATTATAATACCAAGTTTTGCTCCTGAGTGAGGGTGACACCAAGTCTTTGGGTCTAGTACCACCACCTGTAGGTGCGTGGTCCTGGACAAGCTGTGCCAATTCTCTGAAGCCTCAGCTTTTTCATTTGAACATGGGCAGGAAACTGGCACCCAGTGAGAATCTCCAGTGAGCTGTGTCTGACCAAGATGAGCTATGAGCTCACGACACAGGGCACCTCAAAGGAAGCTGTGCTTCTCCCAGCCATGGTTCACCCCTCACCTCTGTGGATTCTGCCTTCAATGCTGTGTTGACATCTTTCTCTTAAGCTGCTGAAAATATCCCACATCGCTGACTCTGCTGACCAAACACCCTTGAAAGCACTGTCCTTGGCTCCTGGCTCTCTTGGCTGTTTCTTCTTCATCTCTTTCCTTATTTCCTCTTCCACTTTCCACTCTGCACTGGTGAATATTCACGCCCTTGGCTCTGTCTCTTCCCCTCCTTTCCATCCTCCCAAATCTTTGTCCCAACTCCTCTTTGCCGATTTCTATCAAACCAACCTTACCAGCTCCACCCCTCTCTCCAGAGAGGCAGACCCTCCTTCCTAGTGACCAGCAAGAAGGCCGGATAGCTTGGAGGGGTTTGCCACTGTGCAAGGCCTGGACTGGCCACGCCACTGAAAGCTGAATTTCCCCTGCTTTAAAACAAGGCCGAGATGATTCATGAAAACCAAGGAACATAATATAGCAACACGACATGGACAGATGGACAGTCGCTCCCATTCTATTGGAGAACAAACTCTACTCACTTATCCTCTCCTGGAAGGTGAATCTGAAGTGTCGATTTGGGAGCGGCTAGGCTGCATGGCCTCTAGTGTCTCTTTCTTGTGCACACTCTGTGCATCTGTGATCATCACAGGGTCGGGGCTCATGTACACCTCAAATTTAACATGTCTAGAACTAAGTTTGTCACATGTCTCCTAGTCTGGTCTTTCTGTACTATTCCTTTTCCAAATCAAAGCACCAGAATGTACCCAGTCATTCAGCTGGAATCCTGGATTCCTCCTGCTCCTCTACTTTCGCCATCCCATAGTTTATCAGGTGCTCTCGACTCTGCCCCATGATGGATGTCAATTCATTCTCTGCTTTAGGCTAGCTCCTCCCTAGCTCCTCCCTAGCTCCTGGCCTGGCCTTTTGATGCAGGTGATGCCCATCTGGCATCCTCTCTTCCTGAATTTAGCAGGGGCAGAACAGTTTCGAGAGAAAGGCCCTAACCTACTCCAGATGCATATGGAACCCCAGTGGTGTGTGTGTACTTGGTCCTGACCAATCAGAACATCATGATGTCCAGGAATTGTGAGAGATTAAGGAATGGGTCCTGATCTAAGTAGAGCAGTCAGAACCAAAGGGATTTCATTCTAGGGCTCTTGTTGGAACCATTTGAAGTAAAAAAGTTCTCCTTTTCTGGAGTTGCTGAAGGGATCAGCCCCAATGTCCTACTGGCTGTCTTGTCACTGTGAAGGGACATGCCCGAGTGCTGAGTTGAGGAGCCAGTCCTGGGAATATCACACTGAATCCCACTGTGCCTGAATCCAAAAAACTCATGGGCTTTCCCATTGGGTAAGCTTATTTAAACCAGTTTGATGAGGCTTTCTGTCACTTGTAACTGAAAATGTCCCAACAGACAGTTTTAGGCCAACCTCTTCACTGTTACCATTTCTTTCGAAGACAGCAGTCCTCAACCTTTTCCTGCCATGACAGTCTGAGGGTGGGACTAATTTGCAACTATCTCTCTAGGTCCCCTCCATCCTTGTTATGTCCCCTGTAAGTTCACACCACTTCCTTTCCCTTAAGAAAGCCTCTCTGAACATGACATTTTTATAGGGATAATCTTACATCCTCATTAATCAAGAAAAATAAGCCACTCACTGATTTCAACGTTTTAGCAGATTTCTCCCTGCCGCCTACCTCACAACATTTGCCATGGACATCATGCTCCTAAACACGAATCTGAGCACATCATCCCTGCCTTCAAAACCTCCCCTGGAGTTCGGGGAGCAAGCTGTGAAAGGCCACCAAACTCCACTGCAGTCCCCAACCCCAACCCCACCCTGTTCCCTTCCTCAAATGTTCCTGGTATTTTAAAATGTGTGTAAGCAGAAGACCTATTTTTTTTAAGAAACAGAAACATGAGACTTGGAAAAGAGAACACAGCTCATCCATCCATTCATTCATTAGTTCATACTAGAGTGCTTGTCATGAGGACTCTGCTTCAGAATAAGACCTGAGATTCCTGCTCTCAAGGGATCTACTGTCTGGAAAAGGGAGGCAGAGAGCAAACAGAAAACAAAGAACCCACAGATAGGAGTAAATGCTATGAAGAGCGTTTTTAAAAATGGCTATCCCGAAGGCAGTGATAGGGGATCTTAGTCTGAGGCCAGCCCCAGGTGGCTCACACCTATAATCCCAGCTACATGGGAGGCAGAGGTAAGAGGATTGTGGTACACGGGCTAGTGAGGGCAAAAGTGGGAGATCCTATCTGTAAAACAAACTGAAGTCAGAAGGACTGGGAATGTGGCTCAAGTGGTAGAGCACTTGCCTAGCATGCACAAGGTCCAGAGTTCGATCTCCAGTACTATAAACAAAGAGGCAGACAATTAGAGAGATCTACATTCAATGACACAACCAAGAAGCCCTCTCTGAGGAGCAGGTATGTATGTTGGGATCTACTGTCAGAAACGGACAGTCTGAACATGCTAGTGAGAACCAATGAAAACAGAGGAGGCTACTCACTGCCTGCCTGCGACATTCTACCTTCACGGCCAAGTTAAGTTTCAAATTATTACACTACTACTGAAAAGTCCTATTTTCCCCAAAGGTACATTTTTTTTTTTTTGAGATAGGGTCTTGCTGTGTAATCCAGGCTGGCTTTGAATTTGCAATCCTCCTGCCTCAGTCTCCCAGGTGTTGGGATTACATTGTGCACCACCAACCGGGCTCCCAAAGACACTTTTTGCAGGTTCTTAAAAAGTTTCATTGAAAAGTACAACTTTTCACTTACTGCCATGAAAACAAAACTCTTTGATGGTTTTGTAATGGATAATTTTTTTCTTTTGTCCCTACGAAGGACAATTCAGGAACAGAAGTCTCGAATGTCTCCCAAAAAGGAGAGAGGAAGGTCTTCTATGAGTCTAGATCAAATATTAGGAGAAATTTTTATCCTAACAGATAGTTTTTATAAAGTGAACAAGAAGCAAAACTACAGCATATTGGGTTTTTGAAGTGATAAAAATGAAACGCCCTTCCTTTCTTCCTCCCTCCTCCCCTCCTCCACTTCCTTCCTTTGAATGGAACTCAGGACCTCGCACTTGCTAGGCAGGCACTCTACCCCTTGACCCACGTTCCCAGTCCTTTTTCCTTTTAGTTTTTGCTTCAGATAGGCTTTCATGCTTTAGTTCAGCTGGACTCAGACCATGATCCTCCTACCTGCACCTCTCAAGCAGCTGGGATTACAGATATGCACCACAATGTCTGGCTTGGTTTGAGACAGGGTCTCTATAACTATTTTGCCTGGGCTTGCCTCAACAGTAATTCTCCTGTCTCTGCCAACCAAGTAGCTGAGATTATAGGTGTGTCCTACTATACCTGCCCAAAGCACTGTTTCTGATATTTTATAGATAAAGACACTGCATTTAAATGCCATTCTTTATCTTTAATGGGAGAAACCAATGGAGAAATGCCAGAATTAATAAGGTCTATGGGCACTGGAGTGAGGCGGCTCTTAGAGGTGACCTTTGCTGTCCATTAGTCAAGGTGAACCATGAGATTTGGGAAGAGACAGAGGGTAAGTATGGCCACAAGACCCAGTGTCCCTTTCCAAACGATCATTATAAGATGTGAGTGGCTTATCTGCCTGGGCAGGTGGGCAACATTTCTCTCGGAGGTCATTGCATTGGAATGATGGATTCTGCTGGGTAGCTCTGTCTGTCCTCAGTAACACGGTGGTCTGCTGTGTGGCTCTTTCTGTCCTCCATATCATGGTAGGCTGGTGGGTAGCTCAGCATCATGGTGGATGAGGGTGTTTTGAGCTAAACTGATCCTTGAGAATCCAGTTAAATCCACAGGCTTTGAAATCAGCATAGATCCGGGTTTGAATTGTGGCTCTACCCAACACTTCCCCACTGCAGGATGCCGGTAAGATTCTGCACCTCTCCTACATTTGACTTATCTGTAAATCGGAGGCCTAATAACACCTCCTAGGATTATTAGGGGTAAATGGCATATGCTTAGAGCCACCCCATCATCTCAGCAGCTACTGTAAATGCTCAGCTGCCGAGGAAGCAAAGCTGCCCCGTCGTGATGTCTACGAAGCAGACATGAATGTGGAAGAGTATGACAAAGGGCGGCCTGGAGTCCCCGGAGGAGATCAAGTAACTCATGATTCTACATTCAGAGGAAGTTGTCTTTGTGTGTGTGTGCCCACATTTCAAATCACAAAACTGTCTCATTGAACACCTTTACTCTCCCTCTTTCTCTGAGCAATACTCTTGTTTAAAAAAATAAGCAACATGACTAAAGATTAAGACACTTTGAAACAGTTAATTCCTGGTGCTCTCATGTTTTCCAAGGCAAAGGAATCTTTCTCTGTGTAGGAGAAAAGCACTCCCCTCCACCTCCGCACAGAAAACCAGGGCTGGGAGAAGAGTGATGTGTTTCTATAGTGGGGAAAAAAAATCTCTCTGAGACAGAAAGAAAAGGAAATCAATTCTGGTTTTATGTGTCACATACATAAATAAATAAGGTGCTATCACATGTTTAGGATGGGCCTACTCTGATTTACAATCTATCAAATTCTGCTATCAAAACATTTAGAGAGGCTGTGAGGCTACGTGGATTTGTTACACTGACAATTCCTGGCATAACCTTTTCATTTCCCTCCTCGCGGGGGATCTGTGCACACTCCATCTTCTCAGAGCCGGGAGATTTCTCTGCTCCCCAGGCACGTGTCAGAGAGAGAGAGAGAGAGAGAGAGGAGAGCGCTTTTCAGCAGCTGCTAGATCCTGTCAGATCTTTCTCCCTCCCAGCCCCAGCTCCCCTTAGACCACCTTCTGTACCCCAAACCCACCGCTTTCTCTTGAACCCTTTCATCTCTTCCTGGAAGAGCCTTCCCTTCATCTCAAAGATGCAGATAAAGGCTGAGGGTCTACTTCTTATTTTCTGATACAGTGTTCTCCACAAAGCCGTTCATTCCAGCCAGTGAACCCTCCCTACAAAAACCACGCAGATTTAAGCTGCATCCGGAGACCATGTTTTTCCATCTCTTTGTGGGGATCCAGTGTGTGGGAACCTGAAGAGTGGCTCCCAAAGTTACCCAGGTCCTAATCTTTGGAACTTTGGAATATGACCTTGTAAAGCAAAAGGGACTTTGACCATGCAGCTAAGGCTCTTGAGATGGAGATCATGCTGGATTAATGCAGGTGGAGTGTAAGTGTGACCGCAAGTGTCCTTCTGAGAGAGGCAGAGGGAGATGGGACCACAGAGGAGGAAATGTTTCGCTAGGAAGACCCAACGCACTGAGAAGACAGATGAAGGTCAGAGGAGCCAAGGAACGCAGGTGACCACTAACAGCTGGAAGAAGCCAGAACACAGATTCTCCCTAGAGCCTCCAGAGGAAACCAGCCCTGTCGACACCTTGACATTAGTCCAGGGAATCTGACCTCAACTTCTGACCTGAGAATTGCCAGAGAATAAACTAGTGGTGTTTTCAGCCACTTAACTGTATGGGGCTTTGTTTCTGCACCACAGAAGCAAACACAGTGGGAGGCTGAATTTGGCTGGCAGCCTGTGACATTCCTATGGGACCAGCCTGCCTGAGGAAGATCCTCCTAGCTTCTAGGCAGAAGCAGAGACCCAGCTCGAACCAGCCCTGGTGACACTGATCTGCTTCTTCTTGGGCCTAAGCAAAGAGCTACAGTTCCCAGCCCTGCTCCAGCAGACCTACAGGGTCAAGGTCTGCTGTTGCTTTCAGTCTCCATAAAATTACCGCAGATGGGACAAGGATTGCCTGTGTCCCACAATTTTAGCAAGAGAGAATTCAGACTTGTGCATATGCTTGTCCTGCTCCTTCTGCCTCCAAATCAGGTTGGCAATTCATCTACCTCTTTGTCCACAGCTATTCAAGTCACCATCATCTCTCATGAGGGCCTCCTGTCTGTTTTCTCTTGGGGCCTGACATTGTGCCACCTCCCCTACCCTCCAGGAAGACATGTGAGACTCAGAAATCACATCTGCTAAATATCCTGGTTCTCAGGCCACAGCCCAGAACAAGACATCAGAATCTTGGGCTCAAAGCTGGCACCAGTCTTTCTGAAGTGCCCCCAGGAGATACCCCTGGCCTGGAGACTCCTGTGACAAGGATGCTTATTTTACTGACACCTTAGCTGCACCACGTGTTAGATGCTGGCTCTGGGAGGTGGAGGATATGGCCTGGAGAATTTTAGAGCAAGAACTGCTTTTGCTGACCTGGCAAATATTTCCCGGGACTCTGGGGAAGACCAAAATGAGCAAGTGTGCAAAGATGCCACCTGCCTCTTCCCATCCCCTCTGTCCCCTTTCCCTCCCTCCCTTCTTCCCTCCTCTCTCTCTTTCTGCGTCTTTCCTTCCTCCGTTTCTCCCTCCTTCCCTCCTTCTACATCTTTTTTGAGATGGGTTTTTCTTTCTAGACTAGCCTTGAACTTGAGATCTTCCTGCCTCAGCCCCTCAGGCTCTGAGATTGATTACTAGCATGTGCTACCATGCCCAGTGAGAAAAATATGATTTTATATATATATATATATATATATATATTTTTTTTTTTTTTTTTTTTTTTAGGTGATACTTGGGATTGAGCTCAGAACCTGACACTTGCTAGGCAAATACTCTATCACTTGAGCCACACTCCCAGTCCTTTTGTTTTTAGTTTGTTTTTCAGATAAGGTCTCGTACTTTTGCTTGCATTGGCTTCAGACTGCAATTCTCCTATCTCTATCTCCCGAGTAGCTCAGATTACAGGTGTGCACCACCATGCCCAGCTTAGAGAGGTACGATTTTAATTTGAACTTGAAAAAGAATTTTAGGGGCTGACTTCTCTTCCAAAGTTTCTCTTTCACATTTCTGAGCAGTCTTGTAAGCTATCACCTTTTTGCAGAATATCACCGTCTGCTTGTTCCTTTTGGCCATCCCATCCCTCTGCACCAATAATGACACCAGTAACAGCGCTAATGGGAGGATAATCCCACAGGTCTTGACTGTGCATTACAGTCCACAGAGCACAGTCACAGGCTCGGAACCCTGCCAGGGAGAGCAGGAAGTACCAGAACCTCTGCTTTCCTCCGAGGCCACAAAGGCTGCAAAGAGGATTTCTTCAGTGATCTCTCTCCAGCCTTCTTCACACTCACTCTGCTGGTAATTTCCGGCTTGTACACCAGGACGGGAAGGCTGGTATTTCCTGTGTACAACAGGAGATACAGCGCTGAGCCAGTCGCTGGATTAGAATAGAGACCAGAGCCAGATCCTTCTTTGGACTCTGCAGCTTCTCTTTTTGGTAGAACACACCAGTGGCCAATTACAAGTGCTGTAATCTCTAGACCATGTTGAGAAGGAATGTGACTGGGAACATGTAAGACAGGGTACATAATAAAACCATAATACTTTTTTTTGGGGGGTGGTGGTGGTACTGGAGTTTGAACTCAGGATCTCATGCTTGCCAGACAAGCATTCTACCACTTGAGCCACTCCCCCAGCCCTTTTTCATTTAATTTGTTTTTCAGCTAGGGTATAGGGTTTTTGCTTGGCTGACCTCAGACTGTGATCTTCCTACCTCCACCTCTTGAGTAGAGGGGATTAAAGGCATGCACCACCATACCCAGCCTTCAAGTAGATTTTTTTTTATCAGATATGAGAAGAATGTCTTTGTGCCTGCTTCATCCTTTTCTAAAGGAATTCACAACTGTCAGTCTTTAAAAAAAAATTTTTTTTTGAGGTACGGTTTCACTATGTAGCCCAGGATGGTCTGGAACTCACTAATTAGCCCAGGCTGGCCTCAACCTCACAATCCTCCTGCCTCTGCTTCCTGATTGCTGTAACTACAGGTGTGTACCACCACACTGGACCTCTAGCTACCAGTATTAAAGGTCCAACATGTTATGACCCTGGAAGAGGAAGCTTGGTCAACATGTAAAGAAATATAAACCAGTGGTCACACAGAAGCAAAACCCATGAACAAATGAGAAATGGGGCTACTTTCTGGCTGAAGGAATAGGCAAGAATGGCCAAGGGACGGTGGCTGATGGGAGCAGGCAGACAAAGAGAAATTGAAAAAGTTCATGTGCCCAGTGTCATAGCAGTGATGTTAGAAAAATAACAACTAGCTTGTTTGAGGGAAAGAGCATTTCAGAGGCGAAAGGGTATCTTGGTTTCCTCGTCTGCTTCCTGGCGATAATAAGAGAAACTAATCCTCACAAGACCTGTGGGAGTGAAACATATGATCCAATGAAGCGAAGTGTGTGACACAGCTTGATGTATGGGAAACACTGGACACGAGTTAACTAGTAAGGTTACAGTAGTAACAATGTAACAACAACAATGATAATAAAAAATAGGATGTCCTATCTTTATGACAAACCCAACTTGTCCCAAGCCAAAATGATCAGGTGGTTTCTTCTTTTTCCCTCAAGCCTGTCAGCTCAGGCTGACAGCACACAGCCATCTTGAATACCCCTGCCTGTGCCCTTCTTCACGTATGTGCCCAGGGTGTGCTAACCTAGCTCGTGTGATTGTTTCTGTCACTCAATCTAAACCCAAGCTCTGTCATTTGTTCATGACACTTCAGATGGTGTCACATGAATACAAGTCATTGTGATATCTCCTGGTTTACTGGCATGGAATTGCTATTGCTTCCTCTCACACTGGATTAGTCCACTTTTCCATTACTAAAACAAAATATCTGGGCCAGGCTATTTTATAAAGAAAAGATGTTTATTTTGGCTCACAGGTACAGAGCGCCAAGGTCAAGAGGTTGCATTGGGTGATGGCCTTCTTGCTGGCATCATGTGGCAAGAGAACAAATGTGTATCTGTGTGCTTCTTCTGGTCTCCTCCCTCTTCTTATAAACCCGCTAGGATTTGATCATGGTCTCCACCCCGATGGTCTTACCTAGTCACTTTCCAAAGGCCCACCTCTAAGCACCATAGTCAGATTAAGTTTCCACTCTCTTTCTACCTCACAGTGGGGACTGAATTTCAACCTATGCAGCCTGGGGGACACTCAGTCCATATCCAAGCCACAGCACGTGCCTCCCCTTCCCATTGTACCTTGTGCCTGTTCCAGGCATGTCTCTGATTTCCCACCTTTTCCCTCAGTAACAACCTGTGGTGGCTCCTCTTCTCCACTGAGTCCCACCACAGTTCATGCTTTGAGATCTCACTCCCCCAAGATACAATTCCAAGGTCCTCATCAAACCTTACCCACTCTTCTCCCCAAAACCTTCTGCCCCAGAGGCTCTTCTCCACACCCCACCCCTCCCACTGCAAAATCCTTTTGATAATTTTCTAGGAAGGCCTCTAGTCCCAGCATTGGAGACACGGCATTAAAAAAAGCAGGGCAGTCTTCCCTGATGATCCAATATTCCCAAAGGCAAGGCTGTCTGGCTCCTAACCACTCATCAATCTGCAGATCCTCTATTTACTTAACATGGATTTGAGCACTCACTAAGTGCCAGCTTCTGTCCTGGGGACTGGGGGTAGAGAAGACAGAGCCAGGCTTCGAGCCAGCTGTCCTTTTGTAGTGTAAGTCAGCAGAGGAAAAAGACCATCACAGAACTGCCAATAATGCAGGAGTGTTAGAGGGATGGGGCAACTTGAGGAGCGGGGGAGAGAGGGGGCTGGGAGAGGCCAGGCAGCTCTCACTGGACATGGTTCTCTCATCCTCTCCCCAGCACGTCACCCTGTATCAACGCAATTTGCAGAACACAAAGTCCACCAAGAACCTCATTTGGCAATTGTTTGATTTTAGGGAGGAAAACCCAAGTACTTCAGGCTACAGCTGTGTACAGAGTGCCATCCAAATCGGTTTAACTTACTCCAAAGTCATCATGGAGTAAAGACCTAAATTTCCAATGCTGAGAAACCAGGGGACATGAAGACTGCTTTGCAGTCAGTGAGGAACTTTCGATGGCATTCCTCCTCTCTCTCTAGGAGTCTTGTTGCAGCTGACAGCAGAGTAAGTCAGATGGTCTCCTCTAGATTTTTCTTAATAGCAGGATGTTGCTGACTGCCTTTCAAAGGAAGAGAAGCCTGTTAATCCTCCTGGATTACCAGCAGCAGAGGGAACCATAGCAATAAGTGAGATCCTAAGCACGACTGACTCCACATCCCAGAGACCTGCAATACCTGGCCACTTAGGGCCAGCGCCACAAGATATGGGGTACGTTGGAGTTTTCTGTCTGGTCACTGGCTGTTCATTGTCTCGTTAACTGGTTCAACAGAATTTGTATTGAGGATCTGTTCTGGGCACTGGGATACTTTAAAGAACTTATTCTTAACCCAGGTCTGGGTCATTACCCCTGCAGACACAGAGAGAAAAACTGGAAGTTAGATGGTATGAGACCAGGCTTTGGCTCATGTATGGGCTGAATTTCACGCCCCCCCAAAAAAAAAAGATATGCTGAAGCCCTGACTCCCAGTCCTCATGAGTGTATTTGAAAATAAGGTCTTTGTGGAGGTAACCAGTTACAGTGATGTTATTAGACTGAGCCCTAATCCACTATAACTACTGTCCTTACAAGAAGGAGAGGTTGGATGCAGAGACAGACATACATGAAGGGACCGATGTGCAGAGACACAGGGAGAAGTCAGTCATCTATAAGCCAAAGCAGCCTGAGATGACCAGAGCAGCCCTGCTGACACCTTGCTTTTGGATTTCTGACCTTCAGAACTGGGAGGCAATACATTTTTCCTCAGCCATTCACTGTACCTTGTTTGGGCAGCCCTAGAGAATTAGTACATCCCCAAAGCCTCCTTGGGTGGGGGATGAGAATCCTGACCACCCAGTGGCTGCCATACTGTGAGGAAGCCCAAACTGCCCATATGGAGAGAGTGGTCGGCCAATCTCCCACATTGTTCTCACCCTACCTCAACAGAGGCCTGAGACATCCTGAGCAGAGATGAACCATAACTGCTATACCCCAAAATTCTCAAAGAATCACAAGCTACAGTGATAATAGAAATCTCTGCTTGCAAAGTTCAAGTTTTGGTGTAGTGTGTGACACAGCAGTAGTTAACCAGAGCAGGGGCAGATCCAGGACGCCAACCAGGAGCATGAGAAGATGCTCTACATCTGGACATGGGGGCTGACAAGGCCTGAAGGATGCTGAGGGAGGGCTTAGGCTGAGGTGGAGTCCACACTCGATGGGGCCATGTGGCAGGCTCTGTCAATGCGACTACAGAGGCTGGGCCACCTCTCACAGTATTACTAAGCACAGCTCTGTGTTGGCCTCTGTGCTGGGTGAGTCAGGTGTCACTGCTACACATTACAGCTCTTAGAAAGTAGGGATTTCACAGATGTGAAATAATGCCATTGACTAACTCTTGCCCACCCAGGGACCAGAGTTAAACATGGCTTCAAACCCAGGCTCTAAGGCTGGGCTTTCTGAAGGAACCCAAAGGTGTCAAAGTTGGGGTGACCCAACATGGGAAGTGGGGAGAGGGCACAGGAAGAAAGCCATTAAAAGAGACAAAGTGGAGTCCAGTTATTCAAAGGTATCCCTTGAAAGGGCTGTCACGTGATTCACTTGGCAAACATGGACAGTTCCAGTTACCACCTGGAGATCTAACAGCTTCCCAGAATTCCACAGGAGCAAGGGCTATGAAAACGCTCTGCAAACACTTCCCTGCAGGCCCGAGAGACGGCCTCTGTCCAAGCCCCAACATCTGCTGACTTTGGACATGGATATGTTTAGTAGTGGAACACGTTTTCTTCCAGTTTCATAACACATGAAAAAAAAGTCCTGCTTGTCCTATTTTTTTTTCCTCTTTTTCCCTTTTCTTTCTTTTTCATGAACTCACAAATGATGTTGCCATTCTTTCCATAGCAACACACTAGGCTACCAGGAGAATTCTAAGAAGGACCCGGGAAGACGGAGAGGAAAATGTGGCAGTGGGAGAGACATTTCTAAAATTTCGGCACCCAAAATGAACTCAGAAGAGGCTTTGAGCCACTTTAGTGGAAAGAGCTGTGTCACCACAGGTCCTGGTTCCCATTCTGTACTTAGGGGAAGATTCTAGAAACCCTTGTGTATTTGTTCTTGCTCTGTCTGAAGCCCTTCCTTTTTTAATTCTTTCTTTTCTTTCTCTGTGGCCTTAGGGTTGAATTTAGGGCTTTGCGTTTTGTAGGCAAGCTGGGCCTGCTAGGTACTGTACCACTTGAATCATGACCCCAGTCCTTTTGCTTTGAGTTCGTTTTTCAGTTAAGGTTTTGTACTAACTTTGCCCAGACTGGCTTTGGACAGTGATCTTCCTACCTCTGCCTCTAGAGTAGCTGGGACCACAAGCTTGTGCCACCAAGCACAACCCTTTTCCATTCTCCTTTAATCCTTCTGATGACACAGGAAGGCAGCTTCCACTAGGTGACAGCCTGTCTTCAACTTCCCACTGACATCGCCCATCTCTCTTTTTTCAGCTTTATTGGGGT